TGTCACCCACCAAGAGACATAATTCCTCGTGGGAAACTGAAGTCTTATGCATTACTGACGCTCGATGTTTGTCTTTACATGTCGCCCAACACATAATAGGCATTCAAAAAAAGAAACGTCTGTGCAGCTGGACTGTCCTCGTTGCAGGAAGGGTTCAAGATACAGTAACACTCTCGCCCAATATACAGTAACACTCTCTAAAAAGAATCAAGAGGTATCAAAAGGCAAAAAAGTAATGCATACCTCGCGGGCGGGCAGCAGGCAGTTTTACCCTGCCCTTTGCACATGCTACCCTGCATCCCTCCCTCCACTCCACCCACCTCGCTGCAGAAACTAAGAAAATATCCATTTCGAGAGTCATTTCAACGGGGTCCCCTTCTCTAGGAAGCTTTCCTTGCTCCTTCTGGCAGAACTAACCACTCCCCTTTTCTGTGCTCTTAATGCATCCCATGTGGAAGATGCCAAAACACATCATGACAGATGCTCATTCTTCCACAGGCTGCGCTCCTCCCCTTCGGGGCGGGTCTCGCTCGTGTGCTTTTTTTTCTTTTTTTTTTTTTTTTTTTTTTTCTAGACTCTCAACCTAGGGCGCCAGAATGAATCCAATGAATGAATGGGCAGCCCAGAGATTAGCCAACGGGAGGTTTGAAGCCTCCATTGGACCACCGCATGTCAGGGATGCTCTTAAAAACGTTCAAGCATTCGGTGGAGAAACCAGAAGGGTCCTCTGAGGCCCTGTCCGGGTGAGCTGACTCCAGGATGCTCATTACCGCAGGTTCAATTTCAGTTCTCAGCAGCCAGGAACAGCCTTTCCGGCTGAATGTGACACCGATTCATTCCCTTTTAGTCACAAAACCAATGTATGCCCCTTGCCTTCTCCAGCTCCTACGGATACGAATAGGATATGGGCCCCGCCGCCCGCTCGCACCCCCGCCCCGCCCCGCCGCCCCGCCTCCCCGCGGGCTCCCCGCGCCGCTCCCCCGGCCCCGCGCCCGCCCGGGCCGCCCCTCCCTCCGCTCACCGTCCGGCCGGAACTCGAACTCCAGGAACTCATGTCCAAACTTGCCCTTGTGCCCTACATAGTAGCGCAGGTAGAAATCGCTGGCCATGGCCATGTTTCCCAGCCCCACCGAGAAAGCCCGCCGAAGGCCCGGCCAACGTGCCGCCCGGCGCCTGGCAGTGACGTCACGCCCGGGGCCGCGCGTCACTGCGGGCGCGCCGCCGCCGCGGCCTGCGGGTCCGGGCGGCCTGTCGCGCGCGCGAGAGAGAGATCCGAGCCGGTAGCTCAGCTTTGCTTTCGTGTGCGCGGGAACAGGTTGCTTTTCAGGATTACGTAAATATCGCATTGTCCTGGCCAAAGCACGGAAGGGTGGACATGGGGCCGCACTGGTCATGGGCCTGGAACAAAGGTTTGCAAGTCGCATTTCCTTGTGGGGCCCCGAGGCCTGTGATGAGTTGGGCCTTAGCCCCGGGGCCTTAACCCCGTTAACGGGTGGGATGAGTCAAGCTAAAGCCCGAAATGGGAATGTAAGACCTGGATACTGCTGGGGAATGGGCATTTTTGAGCACTACTGAGGCCGTGGACTGTGCCCGGGACAGAGTTGTCAGTGCCGGACCCCAGGCCAGGCCTGGATAGGGCCTCAGGGCCCCTTCCCGGCACGTAGGCGTTCTTTCACGGAACACTGTCAGCTTTCTGAAGAACAGGATGACCCTGTGACTAACATGGTCGTCAATGGCATGCCTCTGGCGTTGCTTGGGAAAAATAAAAACTGTTTTGTCTTGGGTTGCTTGCTCTGCAAAAACAGGATGTGGTTAATATGCTTAAAAGGGGTCCCACACAAAGGGTCGGGGCTGCTCTCTGGATTCCCTGCGTGGAGAAAGGCAGAGCAGTGACTGGCTAATAAAGGCTCCCTAAATTTTAATTTGGTCTGGACTGCAGTGGTCATTCACTCGAGTTCGCTCCACATCAGATATGACTCTCCTGCTGGATTTCTACCTAAAACAGGGCTCTCCCTTTGGACAATGAGAATTATCAGGCAACTCAAAGCCTATAAATAATAGAGACAAAGAATCCATCACACAGAAGGTCTGAAATCTTGGAAGCACATTGAAACAAAAAATCCCGACAGTCCTAGGATGAAAACAGTTCCTTTTAATAATAAAGCTTCCTTCCATCAGTAAGGGTTCATCTTTAGTGGCCTGCGGAATAGTGGCAGTGACTTAAGTCAAATGGGTTAGCCCTTATTTCCTACCAGATAGAATTACCTTGGGAAAGTGAGAAATGCTCCCGTGTAGGGTGGGTTTTGAAGGATGGGGAAAGACAGGAAGAGTTTTTACAGTCTATATTTCAAATAATATTGATCATCCTTTTACCAACACACAGAGTAATCCTGTCTATAGATTACCTTTGACTTTCAATGGGATTTAGTAAAATGAGTGATGGTCAGAAGACTTGAGACTCATTCCTAACACTTCCCTCTACCTAAGCTCGGCTAAGTCTCTATCTCTAAGCCTGTTTGTTCATAAATCAAATTATTATACTGAGTTGACATTGCCAAGCTCATAGAACTATTGAGAGGATCAAATAAGATGACAGAAGATAAGGTCTCAATTTAAACAGCATATCTTCAAGGAGTTCCCATTTTATATTCCCCTCTGTCCAATTTGTTTCTTTTAAAAAAATGTTTTTATTGATTTCAGAGAGGGGAAGAGAGGAAGAGAGAGAAACGCCAATGGGAATCAGCTTCCTCCTACACACCTAAGTTGCACACCGGGCCTGTGACCTGACTAGGACAGAACTGGTGACCTCCTGGTGCATGGGCCAATGATCAACCAACTGAGCCACACAGGCCAGGCCTATGTTTCTTCGTAGCACTTACCAGAATGTGTAATTTAAGAATTCTCACACAAATATGTATATGTTTGTATCTTACTTTTTTCAGACAGTAATGGAAAGCTCTCTATTTCTGTTATTCATCACCTAGCACAATGTTTAGTAGTGTTGTCCTTAACACTCAATTTAAAATATTTATATGTATTTGAATGATTAAAGAAATCTTGTGTAAATTTGACTTAAATGAAGAACCTAGAAGCAAAATGAGTTTCCATAAGACTTTATTATGTAGTACCAAGTCACTCAACCTTCCTTCTCTCTACTTCCACTTAATTTAAATTCTGACAAGTCATTGTGGTATTCTTACATATGCAAGAATCATTATTTAGTTAGATGATTCATCATGACTCCATCAGGATTCTAACTTCTACAAAATATTCAACAGCCAGTCATCTTTCCTACACCAGCTTTAGATGGCCTTTCCAAAGTACCTGAGTGAGTATTCTTTAAAATCACAGATCACATGTTCAACTGAATTGTTATCATTGTGATGTTTTCATTACATTGCAGTAGTCGGAGATTACTATCATCATCCAGAAATTCACATAAGAATGATGACTTCAACATTTTAGTCATGTGGTAATTCACCATTGTCTTTAGGCATGTCCTACATCAGCGTGACTGGTGACCGATGTTTTCTTTTTGGCTACAGTAGATTTTAAAAGAAAAAGATATAAAAGACTCTGGAATCGTAATGGGAAAGAAAAGAAACTAACACTTCTTGAGCATCTATTATATGCCAGATATCATACAAATACATATTCTCCTTCAGTCCTTACAACAACCCTGAGGTAAGTATTATACCCATTCCATCCTTTTTCAGACAATGTAGTTTATCTATTTAATTTTTCTATCTTCCATTCACTTTATTCCTTCCTAATATAGAGATTCTGGCAGTTTTATATCTGAAGAGCCTACTTTCATTCAATAAATATTAATTTAATGGAATAAGTTTCACAGTATCAATGGATAATTGAAAATCAGGAACTACTATCCATCTGACTTGAATATACTTTGCTAGGTCTTGATAAAGAGCTGGCCTACTAAGCATTCTTGCTTGGTTTTCACCTTTCATATTTTTAAACACACACAGTATATTATTCATGTTCCTAACTGACTCTACGCTCAGTCTCCTTAATCTTATAGGGACCAGGAAGCTAGCCTGGTGAACAATATATATTGAATGTTCTTAATCATCAAATGACCTCTCCATCTTCTAGTAAAAAATAGTATAAACAGCCAAAACTGGTTTGGCTCAGTGGATAGAGGGTCAGCTTGCGGATTGAAAGGTCCCAGGTTCGATTCTGGTCAAGGGCATATACATTGATTGTGGGCACATCCCCGGTTGGGGGTGTGCAGGAGGCAGCTGGTCGATGATTCTCTCTCATCGATGTTTCTAGCTTTCTGTCACTTTCCCTTTCTCTCTGGAAAAAAAAAAAAAGTATAAACAGAGTTCACTTGCCTCAGCATTAGATAAAAGAGGACCATCTTTCTCTTATCTATCCCCAGGGGCAACTCAGAAATTTTCCTCCTTGATTCTCCTCTAACCCTACATGAAGAGACCATTACCATGGAACTTTAAAACTTCCCTCTACCTTCTCATTGAAGCATGACCTTGGTTCACATCAACATCCCTGAACAAATAGAACCTTTTAATTTTCTTTCTCATCAATTCCTTTTGGGGCTTTCTATTTCTTTGTTTGATTCTAATTTCTCTGGACCTTATAATAGTCTAGATAAAAGCATGTTTTGGGTAGAAACTAGCCAGTGGTAGGATGTACCAGCTTATTTGTGCCATGATTCCTCCTCCCCTGACCCCCTCAGAAATTTTTTTTCAGATTTATAAAACCTCCTTTGCTGTTACGTTATCTGCCCCTTCTACCCTGATTCTTTATGGTTGCGACAACATAAATGAAACTGTATTTCTCTACTCTGCTATGTAGAGTCTCACCCAGCATCATTTCACATATCTAGGAAAATATATAGGGGGAGATCCAGCTCCATGTCCCACTTCTTCCTTTATGTCCCACTGGAAAGTCCATCCTCTGTTCTTATAGGAATTCCCAGAGTATGTGGTCACCCACAAATGCTTCTTGCCCCAGGATCTTCAAAGGATGCTGTAGATGTAGGAGAGGCTCGTTACACTGATGCCTGCCACAGCTGCATACAGTTTAGGCACCACCAGCTCTGGTACCTGCAACACAGCTTTGTCATCTGCAGTTCGAGAGGCAGTTTCTAGGCGTGAGCATAATTCTCTAAGTGAAGGGCGGTTGTCCTCTTTCCAGCGCCAACAGGATTTCATAAGATTATACCTGAAAAGGAAATAAGAGAAACTTACTGGCAAGGCAGTTGTCTGAGAAACATGGCTCCTCACCTAACAAATATTAACAAAAAAAAACAACAATCCTAAAATTCTTTAGTTTGCTTCGCCTTGTCCTGACTCTTATATCCTTCCCAGAGATTAACATTCTCTTATGCTTTTAATCTAAATCTCTTAATATCTTCTCAACGGGGCCCTTCTAATAATAGGAATGACTGAAGATTTCTCAGGGTACAATCATTATGACAGAACACACCCCATCCCCATTCTGTAGCCAAAAGCTCTTTCAGAAGTTGTGTTCTGATCTTTAAATGTTACTAACTTGGGGAAGGAGGATCCAAGATGGCTGCTCGGGTAGACATCTAGCCGCGGCAGCACACAACAATTTCAATGGAATACAACTAAAATGTAGAGTGGACATTGCCCAGAGCTACAGGTAGTCGACTGACTGAAATTTCTACAACAAGAAGGAAAGAGAAAACCAGAAAGAAAATCAGAGGAGCTGAAAAAAAGCCTAAGGTACGGAGACATGCTGCGCGCGAGTCCGCCCGCACGCACGCTTGGAGAGGTCGCAGCCTGAGAGGAGGAGAGGGCGGGGAGCCGCCTTTCCTTCCCTAGCAGGAAGGAAATAAAACCCCCAGCCTGGGCTGAACCCCCGAACCGGCAGTGCTGAACCCCCCCGAACCCAGCAGCGCTGAGCCCCAGTTATGGGCCAGACCCTGGGGACCCAGGCTCCCGCGGGAGGAGACGGGGCTGTAAGGCGGAAAACAGCGAAAAGCAGGGCCCCGGGAGTCGCGCGCAATGCGCACAGAGGACTGAATGTTGACTCTGAGGCTGGGTTACCCTAGCCGGAAGAAACAAGGCCTCCCGCGGCGCTGAGCCTCAGTCCGGACTGCTCCGAACCCCAGTTCTGGGCTAATCCCTGGGGAGCCAGACTCAGGCAGAGGGAGACGGGGCTGTGAGGTGGAGTCTGGGGAGAGCGCGAAAGGCCGGGCCCCCGGGATTCGCGCAAACTGCGCGCAGAGGACAGTCTGTTGACTCTGATGCTGGACTTCCCTAGCGGGAAGGAGAAAAAAAAAGCTCTAGGCTGGGGGAACGCGGAGGGGAGCGGAAGCCCCTGCCGGACTCCAGCCAACCGGGCACCAGCAAGGAGGCGGGCCACGGGGCCCCAGGGGGCGTGGGTGCCCCTGAGCCTTTGACCACTGAGCTCGGGCAATGGAGCCAAGGCCAGGGGCTGCTTCCTGGGCGGCACCGTCCCGGCAACAGGCTGAAGCAGCGCAGGAGCCTGCGGAGAACAAAGGGGTGCCACAGGCCAACCTGCTGAGCTCCCAGGACAAGGAGGAAGAAACCAAAGAAGTTCTCAATGTGAAGAAATCAAGTGAGAGCAAAAAATAGTAAAATTACTTAAGAAAGAATACAAAGAAGATCTTGAAAAATCAAAGACTAAGTCAGAACTCAACTCACCAGCCAACATTGCAACATAAATGCGTTTTAAAAAGAAAAAAGAAAAAAAAAAAGGACAGAATGTTGGATCAGCGGTGGCCAGGCCTAGAGTGGCCAGGCACAAGGCAGTGGCAGCCAGACCCGGAGCAGCAACGGCCAGGCACCAGAACAACAGCAGCCAGAACCAGAGCATCAACAGCCAGCACTGGAGTAGCCAGACCTGGGGCAGTGGCAGCCAGGCATGAGGCGGAGGCGGCCAAGCCCAGGGTGGCCAGTCCAGGAACACCCAGACCCAGAGTGGCCGGGCCCGGAGAAGCCGGGCACAGAGCAGCCGGGGTGGGAGCAGCCAGACCCAAAACAGCAGTAGCCAAGCCCAGAGCATCCAGGTCGGGAGTGGCCAGGCTCGGAGCGGCCGGGCCCGGGGCAGCCGGGCCCAGAGCAGCCGGGTCAGGTGCGGCCAGGCCCGGATCAGCGGCTGCCAGGCTGGGAGCAGCCAGGCCCGGGGGAGCAGCCGGGTCAGGTGTGGCCAGGCCCGGAGCAGCGGCTGCCAGGCTGGGAGCGGCCAGGCCCGGGGGAGCAGCCGGGTCAGGTGTGGCCAGGCCCGGAGCAGCGGCTGCCAGGCTGGGAGCGGCCAGGCCCGGGGGAGCAGGCGGGGCTGGTGCGGCCAGGCCCGGAGCAGCGGCTGCCAGGCTGGGAGCGGCCAGGCCCGGGGGAGCAGGCGGGTCAGGTGCGGCCAGGCCCGGAGCAGCGGCTGCCAGGCTGGGAGCGGCCAGGCCCGGGGGAGCAGGCGGGTCGGGTGCGGCCAGGCCCGGAGCAGCGGCTGCCAGGCTGGGAGCGGCCAGGCCCGGGGGAGCAGGCGGGTCGGGTGCGGCCAGGCCCGGAGCAGCGGCTGCCAGGCTGGGAGCGGCCAGGCCCGGGGGAGCAGGCGGGTCGGGTGCGGCCAGGCCCGGAGCAGCGGCTGCCAGGCTGGGAGCGGCCAGGCCCGGGGGAGCAGGCGGGTCGGGTGCGGCCAGGCCCGGAGCAGCGGCTGCCAGGCTGGGAGCGGCCAGGCCCGGGGGAGCAGGCGGGGCTGGTGCGGCCAGGCCCGGAGCAGCGGCTGCCAGGCTGGGAGCGGCCAGGCGCGGGGGAGCAGGCGGGTCGGGTGCGGCCAGGCCCGGAGCAGCGGCTGCCAGGCTGGGAGCGGCCAGGCCCGGGGGAGCAGGCGGGTCGGGTGCGGCCAGGCCCGGAGCAGCGGCTGCCAGGCTGGGAGCGGCCAGGCCCGGGGGAGCAGGCGGGGCTGGTGCGGCCAGGCCCGGAGCAGCGGCTGCCAGGCTGGGAGCGGCCAGGCCCGGGGGAGCAGGCGGGGCTGGTGCGGCCAGGCCCGGAGCAGCGGCTGCCAGGCTGGGAGCGGCCAGGCCCGGGGGAGCAGGCGGGTCGGGTGCGGCCAGGCCCGGAGCAGCGGCTGCCAGGCTGGGAGCGGCCAGGCCCGGGGGAGCAGGCGGGGCTGGTGCGGCCAGGCCCGGAGCAGCGGCTGCCAGGCTGGGAGCGGCCAGGCCCGGGGGAGCAGGCGGGTCGGGTGCGGCCAGGCCCGGAGCAGCGGCTGCCAGGCTGGGAGCGGCCAGGCCCGGGGGAGCAGGCGGGTCGGGTGCGGCCAGGCCCGGAGCAGCGGCTGCCAGGCTGGGAGCGGCCAGGCCCGGGGGAGCAGGCGGGTCGGGTGCGGCCAGGCCCGGAGCAGCGGCTGCCAGGCTGGGAGCGGCCAGGCCCGGGGGAGCAGGCGGGTCGGGTGCGGCCAGGCCCGGAGCAGCGGCTGCCAGGCTGGGAGCGGCCAGGCCCGGGGGAGCAGGCGGGTCGGGTGCGGCCAGGCCCGGAGCAGCGGCTGCCAGGCTGGGAGCGGCCAGGCCCGGGGGAGCAGGCGGGTCGGGTGCGGCCAGGCCCGGAGCAGCGGCTGCCAGGCTGGGAGCGGCCAGGCCCGGGGGAGCAGGCGGGGCTGGTGCGGCCAGGCCCGGAGCAGCGGCTGCCAGGCTGGGAGCGGCCAGGCGCGGGGGAGCAGGCGGGTCGGGTGCGGCCAGGCCCGGAGCAGCGGCTGCCAGGCTGGGAGCGGCCAGGCCCGGGGGAGCAGGCGGGTCGGGTGCGGCCAGGCCCGGAGCAGCGGCTGCCAGGCTGGGAGCGGCCAGGCCCGGGGGAGCAGGCGGGTCGGGTGCGGCCAGGCCCGGAGCAGCGGCTGCCAGGCTGGGAGCGGCCAGGCCCGGGGGAGCAGGCGGGTCGGGTGCGGCCAGGCCCGGAGCAGCGGCTGCCAGGCTGGGAGCGGCCAGGCCCGGGGGAGCAGGCGGGGCTGGTGCGGCCAGGCCCGGAGCAGCGGCTGCCAGGCTGGGAGCGGCCAGGCCCGGGGGAGCAGGCGGGGCTGGTGCGGCCAGGCCCGGAGCAGCGGCTGCCAGGCTGGGAGCGGCCAGGCCCGGGGGAGCAGGCGGGTCGGGTGCGGCCAGGCCCGGAGCAGCGGCTGCCAGGCTGGGAGCGGCCAGGCCCGGGGGAGCAGGCGGGGCTGGTGCGGCCAGGCCCGGAGCAGCGGCTGCCAGGCTGGGAGCGGCCAGGCCCGGGGGAGCAGGCGGGGCTGGTGCGGCCAGGCCCGGAGCAGCGGCTGCCAGGCTGGGAGCGGCCAGGCCCGGGGGAGCAGGCGGGTCGGGTGCGGCCAGGCCCGGAGCAGCGGCTGCCAGGCTGGGAGCGGCCAGGCCCGGGGGAGCAGGCGGGGCTGGTGCGGCCAGGCCCGGAGCAGCGGCTGCCAGGCTGGGAGCGGCCAGGCCCGGGGGAGCAGGCGGGGCTGGTGCGGCCAGGCCCGGAGCAGCGGCTGCCAGGCTGGGAGCGGCCAGGCCCGGGGGAGCAGGCGGGTCGGGTGCGGCCAGGCCCGGAGCAGCGGCTGCCAGGCTGGGAGCGGCCAGGCCCGGGGGAGCAGCCGGGTCGGGTGCGGCCAGGCCCGGAGCAGCGGCTGCCAGGCTGGGAGCGGCCAGGCCCGGGGGAGCAGGCGGGTCGGGTGCGGCCAGGCCCGGAGCAGCGGCTGCCAGGCTGGGAGCGGCCAGGCCCGGGGGAGCAGCCGGGTCGGGTGCGGTCAGGCCCGGAGCAGCAGCAGCCAAGTCCAGAGCAACTAGGTAGGGAGCGGCAGTGACCAGACCCGGAGCAGCTGGTTGTGGAACGAACCAGAGCAACAGAGGCCAGGCCCTGAGCAGCCAGGCCCGGAACAGCTCACTCCTCGCCTGCCCCTGCCCCATGGCTGCCTCTCAGACATGGCTGGAAACTTTCGTGGGAACTTGAGGGTCTGCTGAATCAAGTGATGAAGGCTTAGATCTGGATGTGTTGAGTTAGTATAGGGCTGGGGTGTTGATCTGTGAGTGCCTTGTGTGGGGCCTAGATGAGGCTGGTGGACCTATTGGGAAATGTCTTTTGTGTGAAGTGTATCATTGGGCATGTGGAGGTATTATTGATATGAGAAAATGCTAAGTAACTGATTTACTATCTGAAAAGGGATTTACTATCGGGGAAATTGAGGGAAGAAGAGACTGAACATAAACTGCACCTATGGATGAGGACAATGGGGGATGGGGAGGGGGCAGAGGGTGGGGTGGGAGCCTGGTGGAGGGGGGAAGAAATGAGGAACCTTTGTAATAATATGAACAATAAAGATTGATTTAAAAAAAAAAAAATAAAAAAAAATAAATGTTACTAACTTGCAGCATTCCAAACCATAGGTACAACTTATCTACCAATAAAAGGTATATCACAACCAGGAAAATAAGTCATGGTACAGCATAGGGAGTATCCTATACAATAAGAGAGAAATATGCTAATTATCCGTTATACCCTGAGGCATAACGACCAATCGAGTAATGACCAATAGCATCAGGACCAGATTATAGATCTGCAGGAGGATGGGGCGGTGAACTACAAGCAGGGGCGGAGAGCTACCAGAAGGGGCAGGGCAACAAGCTATGAGGGGGGGGGGGGAGGAAGGAGGGTGGCAGCAACTTCCTGGCACACGGATTTGTGCACAGGGCTACTAGTAATAATATTGTAATAATTATGTATGGCTCCAAATGGGTATTAGACTTATCAAGGTGATCACTTCATAAGTTATATAGATATCCAATCACTATGTTGTACACCTGAAACTAATATATTGTACATCAACTGTAATTGAAAATTTTTAAAATTATAAAAAAAATATATAAGAAGTTATGGAATAATATTATCCTAATTGTGATAGGGTTTGTTCTTCCATGATTCCAGGTCATTTCCCCCCTTTATAATTTACCTTCTTTAGGAAATTGCCTCAATCTAGATAAAGTATTTACCACCTTTCACTTATCTTTTCTTCAATCCAGTTTAGAGAATGTATAATGCTGTCTGTTTCCAAACACTTTCATCATGTCCCATTCCTGCTGAAGAACCTACAGTGGTTTCCCACTGCATATGAAGTTGACATCCTACCCCCTAGCTTTTCTACCACATAGGCCTTGCCTAACTGAAGCCCTCTCCTCCAGCCAAGTCAGTGTCTCGCTATGCCATAGATGTGGGTACCAGCACCCAACTCTGTCTTTGCTCATGCTGTGCCCAGCTCCTTGAATATGCTCTCTGTGGTCATCATTTAAATCTCAATTCCTCTCTGAAGCTTTCCCTTATGCACCTCAGTGCCTCTATTTCCCACACTTGTTCATGTTGAACCATGAGACTTTGTAAAAGATGCTACTTAAAATACTGCTAACCTTTACCAAGAGCTTACTTATTACATAAAACATTGAAGTGGAACTTAGCATGCATTATTTCATTTTAGCCTCACAATAACTTTGAGGTAGGGTTATCATACCTATTTCAAGGTAAGTAAATAATATATAGTAAAGTAGCAGGGTTAGCACTGAACTTATGTCTTTTTGACTCTAAGATGAATCTGAGCTTTTGGTTTCAGATATCTCCTCATCCAATGTTAAATTCTTCAAGATTAGCCGAAACCGGTTTGGCTCAATGGATGGAGCGTTGGTCTGTGGACTGAAGGGTCCTAGGTTCAGTTCTGGTCAAGGGCATATACATTGGCTGCAGGCACATTCCCGGTGGGGGGTGTGCAGGAGGCAGCTGGTCGATGTTTCTCTCTCATCGATGTTTCTAGCTCTCTATCCCTCTCCCTTCCTCTCTGTAAGAAATCAATAAAATATTTAAAAAATAAATTCTTTAAGATTAGCAATCTTATCAGTTAAGTTTCTCCCTCCAGATCAAAGATAGCCCTTTGTACATAGAAAGCCTGCAAGATATATTTGTCAGCAATTTTATTCTAGTATACCCAGCCAGTATCACAATACTCTGTATATTGATAGTTATGATAGATGACATTTATAATCTGCTTGATACAGTAAATGTTTACTTAGAATTTACCATGTAGTGCTGAAAATTTTACAAAGTAGCAAAAAATTTCATGGAAATGTATATTAGTATATTATATTCTCTCTTGCCTTCTTATAAATAATTTAACCTTTTTGTATGTTCCATAACTATCCCTTTTTGTACTTTATTAGTCATAAAATGCTGACTGTAATTTTTACTTTTTCCATTTTTTTTGCACCTACATGGTTCACCAGCTATCTCATTCTGCTGGCAATATTGGCTCCTCCTTCTCCTGTCTTTAAAATTTCCTCCTACCTCCTTCTACTGGTTGACTTCTAATGTGCTCATAGCTGAAAAAACAGATAGTCAGTAATTTTTAAAAGTTAAATACTAAATAAGAGCCAATTAATAATTCTGGTGCAATGGATTTTATGACAGCTATATTAGAACTAAGGCTGGCAGTCTCTGACTGAGATTGACATTTAGACAAGTAAAACATTAGCATTGTATTTGGTCTGCTTCATACCTATTTTGGAAGCTTCTCAATGAATTAAAACAAATTTGGATTCCTAACAGAGTTCTCAGTAGTTGCGTCAACATTGTGTGTGCATGTATACATACACATACACATATGCACATATATATGACATGTGAGCAGATGTGTTTTACTGCATAAGTTTGATATAGGGGTGTACCATTAGCACATAAAGGACAGCTGGGGATGATCTCTTAAAAAGGCATGACTGATAGGGAGCAAAAAAAATATTTGGAATGAGAGAAGAGTAGGCCTTGAAAGCCACTTACATGGTTTGCGTGCAGCTACTGGGTCTCTTCATGGTCTTCCCTCTTTGCAGATGCTGTAAAATGCTGGCAGGAGGGACTTCAGGATACGGTGGTGCCCCTGTTGATAGGAAAAGCATGAGAGTAGCAAGAGGACGTTGGGTCCTCTAGAATACAAACTACAAATCTGATGACAAAATTTTTTGTGTTTATGCAAGATCACTCTTGGAATTATTCTTTATCCTTTGGATTTTAAAATATCCTTGGAATTGGTACAGTGTCGAGGAAAAGAGAAAGAAAGCAGAAGAAAATTAAAAGGAGTAGAAGGATTTCATGTCAGCCCAGTGCAAACCTCAGAGATTCAACAGAAACCCCTTCTCATAGAATATGTCTCCCATCACTCAAACATACCTGCATGCAGGTACCTACCTAGAGTCACCATCTCATAAAGCAGGATACCAAAGGACCAGCTACAAAAGAAACAAAGTCATTTATTCAATTTCTCTTTTTCATTTTCCTAAAGAGAACTCACTTAAATATTAGAGGCCTTCAGGAAGAGCCCTCTAAAGAAGGCAAAGGAAAGGAACAGAGAGTATCTGATAAAATAAGCCAAGTAAGAGTGCCATTTGAAAGCATTTCTATCCAAGCCCATTAGAGTGCAATCTCTTTGAGGACTGGATTCATGTCTACTTTTTTTCTATATTTCATATTAACAGATGTTAACTATTATTGGCTAAATTATGGGTGTGTTTATGCAAGCACATTCACTCAAACATAAAGAAATTCCCCTCAGCATATTTTTCATTCTTTCCATTCCTTCCTGCTGAAATTCCAGCCTTTATTTTTAGCACAAGACCAAGTGAGGGTTATAATTTATTTCCTCAGTATATCTAATTGACCAAACCTAGGAAAAATATTAACCGAACAAGCTTTATACATAGTTGGAATACATATTCCGCTATCTATCTATATATAATATAAAAGCCTATTATACAAATTGTGCCCTCTGGAGAATGGGGGTTCAATCACTTGCTATGATGTACACCGACCACTAGGGGGTGGTGCAGAATGAAGGAAGGCCCCAGCTGGCAGCTGGCAGCTGGCAGCCAGGGAAGGGAGGCCCTGGTTGGCAGCTGCTAGGAACCCTACTTGTGCACAAATTTCATGCACTGAGCCTCTAGTGCAACCTAATTTGAGAGATGTATATTTCACTATTCTATAACATCATCATTCAATGAGTAATATTTCCTAGTTCAGCTTACTGCTCCCAGACTTCTATTGAGAATCCAATGTCAGTGAAGCAGCAATGGAAGTCTCTTAATTGACTTACCATATTAACCAATATTCTAAATTTTCTTTGCTGCTCATGATATTTATACTTAGTAAGATAGTCAGTGTTACACCTTTGTACTTCTCCAAGCAGCTGAGTTATATGGTTATCAAAATTCAATTGTGGCCAAGACCGGTTTGGCTCAATGGATAGAGCGTTGGCTTGGGGACTGAAGGGACCCGGGTTCGATTCCGGTCAAGGACATGTACCTTGGTTGCGGGCATATCCCCAGTAGGGGGTGTGCAAGAGGCAGCTGATCAATGACTCTCTCTTATCGATGTTTCTAGCTCTCTATCCCTCTCACTTCCTCTCTGTACAAAATCAATAAAATATATATTTTAAAAAAAATTCAATTGTGATTCTTTACAGTCCTGTTTATACCAATCATGCATGCAGCTATAATTATGTAATCAAATATATGCAAGCTAATTAAATATGAATGCAAAAAAATATTAGCTCCCTGAAAAGTAGGTTGAATGATTTGAAAATATTATATAAAAATAAGCTGCTAAAAAGAAAGTGGTATTAAATTGTGTGTGTGACACAAATGCAAAAAAAAAATTAGGAAAAACAACAATAAATGTCTGTGGTCAAATTATTTCACAACTGTTTTTCAAGTTTCTCACTCAGAATTTAAACTGAAACTCAAAAATAATTTATGACGAATACTATTCATACAGGAAACTAGATGTAACGTCATTTAGAAGTTTCATCCTCATGAAAAATTTCATGATCAATATATATCCATTTATATGTTTTTGTTAAAATAAATGATTTGAGGCATGTATGCATATTTCTTTTTATTTTAATAATTCCTGGTTTAACCGAACTTTTGATTAAGTGGACCCACGTCCTTCAAATTAAAAGGACGCTACAAGTTATCAGTGTGAACAATCTTCTCATTTTTCTTTTGCTTTTCTAATTAAGGTTGCTAATCTAATACTAAAGGAATAATTCAAAAGGCATTAAAAAAGATTGCAGTCAGATGCCAAATACAAGCTCTGTCACATAATACACATTTCTTCATGAGAGTCTGTTTGACTTCTAAGTAGACATAATTGACAATAGATGCTGTCATGGTCAGGGACTAGAGGACACTCATGAGGGTCAAGAAGGGCAGAAATCCCAAGGGCAGGAACAAACCGTACATGTCTCCTCTGATGCCAGCTGGTCTCAGCAGTAGCCGTTCTGGGGCAAGCCACTTGAGGGGCACGGTGTTAGTAGAGGTGATAGTCCCTTGGGTGTGGACTTCATAAGCCAGGCCCAGTCCACAGAGCTTAGCGGTAAGGTCGCATTGGATCAGAATATTTCTGGCTGCCACATCCCCATGGAACAGATGTTTATCCTGAAGAAATTCCTATCAATTTAAGATCAAAGGTAGATCAGCTGTCAGAGGTCACGGCTTGGGTCACACCCAAGGAGAAGCAGTGCTGGGGATCATAAAAAAGATAAGGACATTTTCTATTCAAGCAAGTCTCTCTAATATTGGCATATCACTTCCAAGTCATGATAATGAATCAACATTTTGCAAGTCCAACCAAACATGTTCTAAAGTAATATTTCTTGTTTTTTTAGGAGTAAATTTGTTTAGAATTGGCTCCACTCGAGGGCATCTACGGAGTCTCTTGCTGGCAGCAGCAGTGACATCCACAGCATTGACTGAGATAGCAGGAGGGGTGGCATGGACACCCATAGCTCCTGCTGGGGCATCGACACTGGCCTTGACCCTGAAATGGCTGAGCATCTGCTGAAGCCACTGCCCAAGGACAAGCAGATTGTGATGGGGCCCTTCCTCTAGGTCAGCGATCTGCAAACTTCTTAGTCACCAGAGCCAAATATCAACAGTACAACGATTGAAGTTTCTTTGGAGAGCCAAAATTTTTAAACTTAAACTTTTTTGAATGCCACTTCTTCAAAATAGACTCGCCCAGGCCATGGTATTTTGTGGAAGAGCCACACTCAAGGGGCCAAAGAGCCGCATGTGGCTTGCAAGCCGCAGTTTGCCAACCACGGCTCTAGATGGTATCCCACCTGCCACCCTCCTTTGATTGCCTTGAGTCCACAGTGTTTACACCCATCAAGGCAGACCTAAGTGCCAACATTATGAAAATCAAAGCTGCGATTGACACCACCTGGCCATATAGAATAGAATATCCTGGAGGCAAAGAAGGAAATGTATGGAGCAAAGTGGTCCAAAGAGGGGCTAGGCTGGTGCTGATGTGGCTAAAGAGGCCTCTGCTTCATCCATGTCTTCCTCCAGATCTGTGATAGGGAGTCAGCCAAGAACCACCCCAACCTCATCCACATCAATGCCACCAAAGACTACGAGCTGGCTCTCAAGAAGCATCACAGCTGGATCATGCAGATCTTCCAGGACTGTATGCAACACCCTGTAAGTCCAACTTCCTAAAAGTGCTCACTAAGGGCCAGACCATGAGGGAGGAGGAGTGCCTGGAGAAGATTTGCCTTTTCCTGGTCAACTACAGGGCCACCACTGAAATCACCTAGGAGATGTCACCAAGATGATCCCTGATCTCAATGACAAGGTGTAGATGTGCCCAGCAGAGGGCCCATCTGGGCCACCCATTGCCCCACGTGTGGCTGCTCACAGAAACAGACAGACCAGAATCACTGTGAATCTAGCTGGCAGGCTGCCCTTGGCCTGCATCCCCCAGAGCAGCCCACAGTCTGGTTGGGGTCTGCGGAAGACAGCCCTGGTTTCTGAAAAGTCATTTTGGGGGTCTATCCTAATGGAGCAACAACTGTCCTACTTCTGAATCACCTTTGAATTTTACAACAGCACAGATGACTGTGGTAAAAAGCAATTAATGTTGCTAATAAATCAAGTCCTAGGGATTTTTGTGTGTGTTTCCCCCCTCTCCCAACATGGTGCATGACTTTGAGGACATACATCTCACTTTTAAAATGAGGATCTGGTGCAGTGATGTTTTGGGTAGTTTAAGGACAAGGAGGGATTTGATTTGAAATGATACAGGGCCCCAACTGTGGGATTTTTTTTTTTTTTTAAGCAAACGACTGTGTGCTCTCAGGTGGTTGCACAGCCCAGCCTCACAGCAATGTCATTATAGACCCTGCTCTTTCCCACTGTCTTTTTCCAGACAGTTTTTTACAGTTGAAAACAACCAGCAAGCCTTTGATGACTATGACCAAAGGGACTTTATTTTAAAGCTAGCAGGTACAAATAATTGACCAAATATAACTGAATTTGCATTCTTCTGCGTAATTGTTTTCTTCAGGGACAGCCTTTCCAACGTAAGAAAGTGCCTACTATGTACATTCTTTCAAGGGGGAGACCATGAGCCCTCCAGGTGCTGAGACCCAAGGAAATACCTCACTGCCTTTAACTGTCCCTCCTGGTGCTAATAAGAGCTGTATTTTTTTATTTTTTTAAAATATATTTATTGATTTTTTTACAGAGAGGAAGGGAGAGGGATAGTTAGAAACATTAATGAGTGAAAAACATTGATCAGGTACCTTCTGCACACCTCCTGCTGGGAATGTGCCCGCAACCAAGGTACATGCCCTTGACCGGAATTAAACCTGGGACCTTTCAGTCCATAGGCAGACGCTCTATCCATTGAGCCAAACCGGTTATGGCAAGAGTTGTATTTTTTAAAGTGTTGAGGTGAATAGGAGAATCCTGAGAGAACAGATGTGTGTTAAAAACCCAATGAGGAACAATTGGTGATTTTTATTCAGAAACTAAATAGTTCTTAGTAAATAATTCTATTTTTTTTGGGGGGGGGGGGAGGGGGCGGGGAAACAGTGTTTATGACTACTAAACTGAGCAAATAATCCAAATAACATTAATACTGGGTTTGGAATGTCTACTCGCCCACTGTGTATCAAGCTCTGGCGCTGCCTGATTTCACCTTTTTCTGTGAGAGGATCCAGCTGGCAACTGGAAAAGCAAGTAGGTTTCAAGTTCTAACAGCAGTCCCCAAAATAAGGTAATATGTACACTGAAAAACTGAGTGTCATAATAATGCTTTCATATGGAGTTTGACATCACTATTTTTTTGTCCCTACAATAACTAGATGAAGTGAATTAAGGAATTTAGATAAGTGTAAGTGATTACACAGGCCACAACATTTATTAAGAGGTAATGACCAGTACATGGTTTTTAATTCATAGGAGGGACTACAAATTATACTAATAATTCTCAAGCGAGACTGAAAAATCAGAATTGCCTGAGAGCTTTTTGAAAACATAAGGTTTTCATTCCATATTTACGTAACTGGAACCTAGGCAGAGGGACCTGGTAATCTATATTTTTAAGAAGTATTAATCCCTAGTTGTTGGCTCAGTGGATAGAGCTTCAGCCCACAGACTGAATGGTCCCTGGTTCGATTCCAGTCAAGGGCACATACCTTAGTTCCAGGTTCCCCAGCCCTGGTTGGGGTGCATGTGGGAGGCAACCAATTGATGTATCTCACATCAATGTTTCTCTCTTTCTCTCCCTCTCCCTTCTACTATCATTAAAAATCAATTAAAAATATCATAGGGAGAGAATTAACAACAGTAAAAAATAATAAAATAAAATGCATATAAAAAAAAAGTATACTAGCCAGTTTGGCTCAATGGATAGAGCGTCAGCCTGTGAACTGAAGGGTCCCAGGTTTGATTCAGGCCAAGGACACAGGCCCAAGTTGTGGGCTCGATCCCTAGTCGGGGGCGTGCAGGAGGCAGCCGATCAATGATTCTCTCTCATCATTGATGTTTCTATCTCTCTCTATCCCTCTCCCTTGCTCTCTGAAATCAATAAATATATATATTTTTAAAAAATAAAAACCAAGTATTAAAATAATTCTAAGCATAGCCAACAAGGCATTTGAGAACGTTTTCAAAGGCATATGGAGAACTTGAGAAAATTCATGACCAAAGAGCTGGAGATTGAGATATATCATTATCAAATGAAGTTGTATGAAAAAAATAAAAGATTAAGGTGGTAATTTCCAGTCATTGATGATGAAGGAAATAGTGACTAGCAATTGTTCTGTCTTTGGTGGAGTTTTATTTCTTTTCCATAATCACTTACCCCTCCCCTCCTGTATCCTTTTCCATCTCCACCTAATTCCTACCCCCTCTCTGGTGGAGTTTTAAAACAAATAAATTATACTATAATGAGGAGAATTAAAGAATGTAGTAACTTTGAGGTCATGAAAAGTAATTTTTATTATCTTATAACTGGTAACCTAGAGCCCTGATGAATGCATCCATGGAATCAATACATCCCACTGGGGCACCTCTGCAATTATGACTTAGAATGCAAGGTAGGCTGTATCCTGATACCCTAATTTTGTCAAGGAACTATACCAACTAGGCCCTCCAAAACCAGAGATAATATTCATTCATCCAATGTTCTCTCTCCCTTGCCCCATAGGAACTTCAATTTTTACTACTGCTCTTCTTTTCATCTCACTACTTTTTTTTTTCCTTATTCCATTTAGATGCCTGGTATATTTCACACATCCGGATGGCAAGATACACTTAAAAAACTAAAAAACAAAGCAAAAACAAAACAAACAAAAAAAACACCTGAAAGTGGAAGCTTCACAGAGCCTGATTTTCTATAACAAATGCTATTTTAAATAAAATGATGTAAATAATTTCATAGGCATAGTCATCTAAATGTTCTGAGTAATTACAGTAAAGATATTTTTTTTCCTCTTAAGCCCTGAGTTCTTTCTCTTGCCTCTTTTTTTTAATTCTTTTTTATTATGTATTAATTTTTAAAATATTTATTGTCTCACCTCTTTGATTCGGTTTAAAATAAAGGAATGATTTATTGCTCCTTCTTATTCCTTCTCTTGCATTTGTTCCTTCTTTTTAAAGTATATGTATTTCCTATCACATTCAGTATCAAAGCAAGTCTCCAACAAAACATGTTCTGAACTGGTATTTCTTGTTTTTTGGTTATAAAATGGTTTACTTCTTTCTGGTTCTGTAACCTTTTACCCATTCAGCTTAATCTTCTCATATAGTCTCCCAATTTCCTTCCCTATTTGCCCCTTTTACATCTAGTAATATTAGTATACATGGGGAAGTAAAAGTATTAAACAAGTGGACACAAAGCTCTTAGCTCTGGTTTTTGAATTCTGAGAAACCTTTTTAAATCCTTACTGTTCTGTTTAAAAACCCTAAATTGACTACCTTCTGCCCAGAATTACCAGTCCTGTAGTATCTACTCTAAATTATTTCATTAAAAAAAAAATAACTGAAAATAATTTTTCAGTGCTTGAGTTTCTGCCCCCTAACTTCCATCTAATTTTCTTTATAATATATACCCTTTAGAAATACAAAAAATACAGCATCAAATACCAAGTTAACAAGAAAATCCCTACTATCAGTTATCATTTTGCTCAGCTTACCAAAGCCAAGAGAACCTGCTTCCCAATGTGATACACTTGTTTTTCAGTGAGATCATAGAGAAGGCCATCCATGGTCATCACATCCTACAGAGACAGAAAAGAAGCATTATATCAAAATGGCATGAACAGATCTGAAAAAAATATATGGGCAAGAGATACTCTTAAATGCATATAGCAAAGCTAAGAAAAAAAAAACATAGAACTGTAAGGTTCAAGGATAGAATAATATTACAGGTTCTCAAATATGAAGATAAATACAATAATTTACTGGACTGGAAAAAATAATAAAGAATGTAGATAAATAGAATAATGAAGGAAGAACAGAAGAGCAAGGACAGAAGACAAGTATATGCTTTATCCACTGGATAAAGCATCAATATGTGTGTGTGTGTGTGTGTGTGTGTGTGTGTGTGTGTGTGTGTGATTAATTAAGCATATTAACTCAACACATTTTTATTGAATGCCTATTATGTGCCAGATTTCATCTTAGGAACACAGACTTTATAAGAGTGAACAAAATAAATGTGTCTGCTGCCTTCTAGAGTTTATAACATGACAAACACATATAAATCAGAATAAAATAATCATATATAAATGTATGATTACATATCTATAAGCACCATGAAGGAAATGTAAAAGAAAGTATATGATGGTGGGGGAAAGAGATATGATTCAGTTGGTGAACAAGGAAATGTTTTATGAAATTTGAAGAATGAGTGGGCACTGACTATGCAAAGAATGGAGAAGTTTGGTGTAATGAGAAAAGAGAGGGGTGGTGGTCTAAAATAGAGAAGTACAGCAATTTTAAAAAACAGAAAAGAACTAATTAAGTACAGCAAATAAGTTATATTTAGATAAGCTCTTTAAAAGATTTTAAATACATGTCTCTAGGTATCACTGGATGGAAGATACCAGCAGGGTCCCTTTTTCATACATATTTAATGGTAAAAATAAGCATATTGAGGAGGCTTGTTTAATATTGAACTTGCTCATTGGCAAGCAAAGAACTAACTAAGAAAACGTATAGTGCTTGAGAAAGAGAAATTTATAAACAAGTAGGGAAACTAAAGAAAATGATTTGCTCTTTAATCTGAAATTTAATTTTTGAAAATATGTGTTTAAGGCACAAAAACTTAAAACCTGAATTTTTCCTCAACTCAGCCCTGGCATACCTAGGATGATGTTACAGAATGGAAAGCACACTTAACAGTTACAACAAAATTACAATCAATACTAGATGATTATGTTGTTATAAAATTATCACTATCAACTGCTCTATACCAATCACTGTTGTGTTTTTACATACATAATTTCTTTTATTATTACTCCCACTTTACAGATTCAGAAAACTCCGGCTGAGAGAGGTGGCTTGCCCAAATTCACACAGCTAGTAGGAACTTAAAGTTCATACTCTACATCTGCACTGCCTAATATGGTAGCCATTGGACGCCTGTGGCTATTTACATGTGTATCATTTTTAAATAAAATAAAACAAAAAATTCAGTTTCTCAGTCACATCAGTCACATTTCAAGTACTCCATAGCCACATGTAATTAGGGGCTACCATAGTGGACAGGGCAGATATAAAACACTGCTATCATAAAAAGTTCCACTGGATGGTGATAATCACTCTGTTATGCTGTTATAATGTCTCTTTACTTTGTCCCCTGTGAGGCTCATGTGAACAGCTAATCAGCCAGATAAAGCCTTTCCTTTCTAACACGTCTGCCCTACCACTCACCCGGCGACAGGTCCAGAGAAAGCTGAGCAGGTCCCCCTGGGCGACATCCTCCAAAACCATATAGAGAGGCTCTCCTTCTGTGCAGCAGCCTTCCAGTTGTACCAGGTTTTGGTGCTTCCCCAGGAACTGATAGAATTGGATTCGTCCTAAGAAATCCTGAATCTCACGGAGCCTAGCTGGTTCTGTGGAGAACAGAAGAGCCATGGATAGTAGTCAGAACAGTTCAGAGAAAATGGGAAGTTTGAGGCAGGAAGCAACCTCAGATGATAATTCTCAAGGCTCTAAAGGGGAGTAACTATAGACAAAAAGTAAACAGAAAGGAAACCAATTAGAAGATGATCTTCATTGATCTTTGGTCAAAGGTAACAAAATTATAGATCGTACAACTAAATGGGCAAGTGTGTTCACATTAAAATGTCATCACAGTCTAGGCCTTTGGATTAATAATCTTATTTATTCTATCCTTGTTCTATGCATCCATATTATGAGCATCAGGAAAAAAAAAAAAAAAAGAACGAAAGAAAAGAAACACAGTGTTGTCAGGGTGAGATATATAGAGGAGAAAAATGAAGAATCAACCTCAACATCCTCATCCAAGTAATAGTCTTGATAGGGCAAGGTTGAGCTATGGGAAAGAAAGACCCCAGGAAAACATCTGTCTTGCATTTTCACTTTCTAATCCCTTCTTAAGTTTGAGGCACAAAAGCTTAAAAGCTGAATTTCTCCTCAACGCAACCCTTCTTACTCTGCACACAATTGTAATCACAACTATCTATTGATTAACATCTTAATGTTTGCAAAGCCCATTAGCATTTACTGTTAGGGGTGCTCACGGGGGAAAGTTAAAAAGGGAAAGGGAAGTGTAACCAAGTTTTACCTTTTAAAACCTTGAGGACAACGTCCTTGGACTTTGCTGGGTCCCCAGGGTACATCTTGGTTCGATAGATGGCCCCACAATTCCCATTGCAGATCCACTCCAGAACTTCAGAGAGTTGTTCCCGAGGTATCTGCAGCTTAGCCAGGGCCTCTGTGGATGTTTGTAGAAGGCTTTCCACCGACGTCTCCTTAAGTGGCACAAATACACTTCCTTCACGTCCTCCTGCTTCCCCGTTTTGGCCCCTAACTGGAGGCACAGGAGCAGTGCCTAGAACAAAGAGATGATACCAACCAGCTTTTCCTACCCTCCAGACTCCAGGAAAGCAGAGCTGGGAACAAACTGGCAGGAAAGTTCCTTTAATAATTTTTTTTGCCACCTGTTGTGGGGGTATTTTCTGATGCTTCTCTGTGAACCAGCATCAATACCAACCTTTAGAACTTTTATAATTCCATTACTTCTAAGACAACTCAAAATGGCCTCTTGAAAGTGGTAATGGAATTTCTTTTCTGTTTCTCAGAATCACAATTCAATATAAATGTAATATAGAGACAATTGAGGAAGTTCCTGAATAGTTACTAAAACCACAGATACCTAGCCTAGCTGGTGTGGCTCAATTGTTAAGCATTGATTTGTGAACCAGGAGATCACCATTCAATTCCGAGTCAGGGCACATGCCCTAGTTGTGAGCTCCATCCCCAGTGTGAGGCATGCAGGAGGTAGCAAAGCAATGAAGTCAGTAAAAAACATATTGAAAACCACAGATACCTAAAGGTGGTATCTCTCTCTCCCTCTCCCTTCCTCTCTTTGAAGTCAATAAAAAACATACTTAAAACCACAGATACCTAAAGGTTGTGGTAACTGCTAGTTGGGAATATCATTTAAGTCAATTAAATGGCTCCCAAAAGAGGAGGGGAGGTATGGATAACTACTTAACTCTAAGCTATAGTTATTCTTCCTCCTTCAAATTGTGACCAGGATCATGTTATTCCATACTTCTTAGTTTTATTATTCAAAAGGTATTCTGGTATTTTCTCCCTCCCTTAGCCAACTTTTCTCTATTGGAATAGAGAAATTCATTCTTTGTATTAAATCTTCATTCATTCATTAATTCATTAATTTATTCAACAAATATCACCTCCTACATGTCAAGCACTATTGTAACTTTTGGATAAAGTCCAGATTCTTCTGAAGATTATTTTCCAGTAGTTGGAAAGAGGAGCAGATAATAACATACCAGGTTTTGAGTGTTAGGGAGAAAAGAGAAGCAAGTTTAAAAGCCAGGAAAGGCCTTTGTGATGACATATGAGAAATAACCTGGAAGTAATAAGAGAGTAAACTATATCCTGGTATCAGGAAGGGCATTATAGACAAAGGGAATAAGAAGTACAAAGGTATTGAAGAAGGAGCATGCTTGGCACACTGGAGGAAGAGTAATGAAGTCAGTTCAGTGAAATCAAGTGTAATAACTGGAGAATTATAGGAGATGAGGCCAGAGAGGGCCCAAATCATGTAAGACTATAAAAAGAATTTCATCTTTTTTCATTTTAAGATGGGAAGCTATTGGGGAGTTTCCAAGCAGAGAATTGACAAGACTGACTAACACTTTAAAAGAATCATTCTGCTACTCTGAGGAGAATACACCATGACGGTATAGGATTACAAGCAAGGAACCCAGTTAGGCGCGTATTACAATGGTCTATGTGAGGTCAGAGTGGTATACGTTCTTTTGAAAGTAGAGTAAAAGGATTTATTAATGGATTCGATGGACACCTTTAATATTTCAGACTGAATGCGTAGAAATCTGTGTTTGCCTTTTACTAAGATAGAGGAAGACTATTGGTAGAGGTTATCTTGTGAGGGAATTTCAGTACCTTTGCTTTGGACAAATTACATATGAGATGTGTATTAGATCCCAACTGCAAAATAGGTGATTTGATATAAGAATCTGAAATTCAAGGGAGACTATAATTAAAATAGAGAAAGCATTTGAATCTATATATTTAAAATGAGATCATTTAGAAAGTGACTAGAGATTTAAAGAAAAAAAAAGTGGAAAGAAGTACAAAATATTTCGACAGGTCACAGAAGATAAGGACTCAACACAGCTGTCATTGGTGATCTTGGAAAGAGTTGTTTTGGTGGAGTGATGTGGTTGAAAGCTGTATTTTAGTATATTCAAAAGAGAATGCAACAAGTGGTAGTGAGAGTGAGTTTAGGTTTCTTTTTGTTTTATTTTTGGTTAAAATATCCTCACTCAAGGATATTTTTCCCATTGATTTTTTAGAAAGGAGGTTTGGAGGAAGAGGGAGAGAGAGAAACATCAATGTAAGAGAGACACATATCGATTGGTTGCCTCCCACGTGCACTCTGACTGGGGCTGGGGATTGAACCTAAAACCCAGGTATATGCCTTCGGTGTGCAGGCCAACACTCTATCCTCTGAGTGGTAACAGCCAGGGCAATATATGGTAGGATTTTTTTGTGTGTTTTCTATTGATTTCACAGAGAGAGATAGAAACAACAGTGATGAGAGAGAATCATTTTGAGCTGCCCCCTATAGGCCCCCTATTGGGGATTGAGCCTGCAAACTGGGCATGTGCCCTGACTGGGAATTGAAGGGTAACTGGCCTTCTCGAGAGTGAGTTCAAACAATTTATTTGGAAAGTTTTCTACAAGAATGAATTATAAGAGACTTTGGATAAAATTTGGAAAGGAATTGGTGATCAGCCACTATGAAGTTTCATATTACTGTCAGATTTTTCCCCTTATTTTTATTAGTTTTTATTCTAGCTTATTATCTTTCATTATATACTCAGTGGTATTCCAGAACAACATGTAATCATCTCCTACCTAAATCTTCAAAAACTATTATGAAAGCTATCCCTTTTCATCATATATTCCAGGGGCACAGAATAGGGCTGGAATGTATTATAGAATAAGATGTCATCCTTCAAAGCTGATAACAAAACCTACTAGGTTTTCCTCCCAGATCCTTAGACATTCATGTGGTCATATGATAGTGCAATAAGACAAAGAGGGCAGAAACAGGTTACATGAGGCCTCTCTTTCCTGTTCTGCTATCAGCTAACAAGCATATGTGGAATTTCTACTCATGAGACCTCTACTTCCTCCTGTCTCACAACTCCACAGAAGGGGGACCCATGCCTCCTTTTGTATTGCAGGAATCTAGACTTCTACTGTAGACTTGGACCCACTGAGATTTGGGTTTTGTTTTTTGCAATCTCTGTCTTCCTTGAGCTTCTGTTCAGCCCCACTTTGAGCTTTACCTTGGAGTCCAGTAGTCTGCTGTTGAGCTCTTTTTTCTCTGATAAAAAGCCACAGGATGACCCCAAGAATGATGAGGGAGCCACCAACCAGAAAGACTGGGATGATGATGATTTCATACTGCTGGTGTGAGATAACTAGATAGAAAATTAAACAGAAAGAAAAGAGATTAAAGAAGAAGCCTAGTCTAATGTCTACACAAGTTCTGCTACCCACCAATCCTCAGCTCATCATACATAAATGGTCATCTCTTCTTTATTCCACTCCATTTTCATTCAATGGAAACCCTATTGGGAGCAACTCTTTCATCACAACCGCCATGTCCCTCTTTCTTAGTCCAGCAAGTGTGCTCTGTGCCTCTTCTCTTATTTTTCCTACTGAGATGAAGAATGCAGCATCTTCACCTCTGATTGGTACTTTTTTTAAAAAAAAACAATGGCCCATTTCTTTATCAATACTGTCTTAATTTCTACTACAAATCAAATTATTCCCCTCTTAGATTCTATCCAGACCTTAATCCTCATTATTCTAAGAGAAGAACACAAACATGTTTACTTACAACACAACTTGTCACTGAGACTGCATCCCTTTAGCATTTGTGTCATGCCCTTCTCCTCTCCCATTGCCACACAATTGTCCACTCCTTGATCCACAGAGAATGCACAGAACACAGCTGAGAATAATTCACAAGGATTGAGTTGCTCTGAAAAAAAGTAAAATGGAGCATACAGAGAACTTTAAACACATCTACAGATCACTGGATATTAAATACATGGCTACCTGGAACTCTCTGAGCCATACATTCATTTCTGTTAATATACTTGATATTTGGGCTGGAATAATTTTATTCTTTTTATTTTATTTCTTTTTAGACAGATTGGGAAGAGAGAGAGAAAGAGAGAGGGAGAGAGAGTTAGAAACATCGATGAGAGAGAATCATCAATCAGCTGTCTCTTGCACACCCCCTACTGGAGATGTGCCCGCAACCAGAGAATGTGCCCTTGACTGGAATCGAACCCGGGACCTCTCAGTCTGCAGGCTGACGCTCTATCCACTGATCCAAACCGGTTTCGGCATACAAACTTTATCTTTGTTAACAAGAATCTCCCCTGGCTCTATGGTCATTAAAGCCTATTTATTTAATTCTTATTGATCTGAAAGAAAAATATGGTAATTTTCCACTGTTTAGGTAATCCTAAGTATGTGATCTACTTTAGTAGTCATTTGATAACAAGGCAGAATTTTAAAAACCTAGAATTGTAGTTTGACATATGATATTATACATATGTTACATTAGCCTTATTACATGTTGTGTTTTATTATTGATATTAATAACAACAGTGCTATCTACTAAGGCAGAGTCTTTTTTAAAAATATATATATTTTATTGATTTTATACAGAGAAGAAGGGAGAGAGATAAAGAGTTAGAAACATTGATGAGAGAGAGTCATCGGGATATGCCCGCAACCAAGGTACATGCCCTTGACCGGAATCGAACCTGGGACCCTTCAGTCCCCAAGCTGAGGCAGTCTTTTAGGTAAAGGAGTTTCCCAGCTCCATCCAGACTACCTTTTCACTATTCCTGCAGCCCCATGACCTTATATGGGGGTGCGGGGGGAGTGTGAGAGTTAAACAGTTTATTTATAACTTATAAGACAGACATGTGTGTAGTTGGTTGACAGAAGCCCAAGTAAACAGAGGTGTAGCCCAAAGAAGAAAACTGGCAGAGAAGAAAAGTTTGTACATAACAAGGGATCTGTGAAATCAATGAGTAATAAGACAGCAAAGTCCATTTCATTGGGTTTGTAAGCCAAAGAGGCAAGGTAAAGGTAGTTGAGAAATTTTCCACAACTCAATAAAACCACATGGAAGGAAAAATACAAAAAATAGAGAGCCTTGTGAGTGTGAAATGAAGAAGATCTTAAAAATAAACAGGTGCAACCAGGAGAATTCAAAAGCTATATGAAAATGTATCACTGTCATCCTCATTCTTATTTCCCTTGCCTATTACTTCCTTCTCAGTGCATTATCAAATGTAATTATTTTCATTCAGGGAGCAGCCAGGTTAATGAGTTTGGCTCTCTGAGGAATAGGTTCTGTGAGCATAATCTGTCTTACCAGAGCACAAGTGGAAGATAGGTCACTCAGCAGCCAGCTCAAACTCATGTGCTCTGCCCAGAAACCAAACTACACACCCACTAATGCATACTGAAGGGAGCTATTTAAAACCCAGTGTGTGCATACATATCCCCACATAGAGGATGCTCGTGATGGACCACTCTCAACTATAGGCACATGGCCCAACATACCTACACCCGAAGTCTCATGCTCATGTTTATACCCCTGCACCTGGAGCACATTCATTATAGCACCCACCTTTGGATACAATATGCATTTACTGAAAAACATTTCTCAACCTCACTTTTATTTGTGCATAGGTAGTTTAAAGAATTTAGTCTCTTTTAAAAAAAATTTTTTGTTGTTGTTGTTAATTTTTTTTTTTTTTTTAATTTCCAGATGATGCTTGTCTGATACAGAAAAGCAGCCCAGGCTCCACATACTTTGCTACAATTCCACTATTTATACTTGACAACTGGATATTCCAATCCAGAGATTAGGTTCAGGTCACAATTACAATGAGCAGAACATCAGCATCTCCCTCATAGGACATCCACCAAAAGGAGCAATGCAAAGGCTGTGGTTATTGACAAAATGCTTTAACCAAAAATTATACTGAAAAGAGATTCCTCACCAAGCCATCAAAATCCCAGCCAAGGAGAAACTCAATGTTAGCAACATAACAGCATCCAATAGGTAATATAGTCAAACCAAGCTGTAGTACACACTTTGCCAGAGATAAGAGCTTGGGAGACTGGGAGCATAGATCTAGGATCTGAAGTTAGCCCACCCAACCCCACCTGCTAGGTCCCTGCAGTTTATAGTTGGATTTGTTCTTTCTAAGGACCCCACCAGAGGTCCCATGCTAGTCTTCTCTAGTAGTTTAGACTTTTTTTTTTTCCTTTCTGGTCTATGTCTAAAGCTTGATCCTCTGGGTGGGGTGTGCAGGAGGTGGCCAGACAATGATTCTCTCTCATCATTGATGTTTCTATCTCTCTCTCCTTCTCCCTTCCTCTCTGACATCAGTAAAAGTAAACCTAAAACAAATAAACATCTTAAATTTGTATAACACTTCACAGAAAATGAAGTGTGTTCTTCTATGTGATCATACTTAAAATCTGAGGTGACTTGTAGTGTTAGTGGGCCCTGCACTTTTATGATATGTGGCAACCACTCTGCTCCTTTACAAAGCCAACTTTTCAAGGAGGAAGCAATACACAAATTAGTCTTCCTCATCTGTCCTTTATACACCTTTGCTTCAGGAATGCCTGCAGAAAGCTAAAAATAAGAAGAAAAAATTATGGCTCTCGGGCTTAGTGTCAAAAGATCTCTCTGAACAGTGTCAGGACTCCAACCACCATGAGAGAGCTTGTTTTCCAACCCATTCAAAGTGCATTTTAGGGCTGGGGTCCCTGGGGAGATAGGGAAGGGTGACGGTTAAAACAATCACTCTGTGTAATCACCTCCCCATTTGCCTCATACACATTAGGAGATATCACCAGGCATAAAGCAAGTTATCTACACAAGTCTGATTCTCTGGATTTAAAGAAGGTCACTTCTTCCCAGTGCCCTTCCATTCATTCTTCCTCTCACAAGTTTGCTTCCTTGGGAAGGTTGAGCCTGGACCCCTGGTGATCTAGCATGGAGACCCTGATTCTTAGGCCAGTGCTTTGTCCTCCGGGTGTTCTAGCCCCTTCCTACCCTTCAGGCTCACAGCAAAACGTTGCTAGTCCTAGAAATGAGGCTTTTCCCTTCGAAAAGCAGAAGTTAGAGATGAGATTGGGATCAGAACCAGCGAAGTGAGTAAAGAAAATGATCCGAGATCCCATAATCTAGTAAGTACTGGGGAAATTTTCTGATTTCACCCTTGTCTTCAGAATACATTTTGAAGGCACACAGGCAGGCATCACCTGCCCCACTATGACTTGCAGGCAGACTCGACTCATTTGTTCATTCCAATTTATGGTATTTTCGTTGATGAAGTTTGGTTTCAACATTATGGTTTCCATGGTTCTTTTGGTTTCTGACATAAATTCTTCTTGACACTACTGATCTTGTCCACCTGAGTGACAAAGAATTATGTGTAGTAAAGTAGTTTATGGAGTAATGGAATTTGAGTTGAACAACTGAAATAAACAAACGTTGCTCTGTCATTTACTTGTTTTTGCTTTTTTTTTTTTTTTTTTAAACCCTGGCTAACTCAAAATTTACTAAGATACAAATAAGAAGAGAATGAGAGTGAAGTGGGAAGTGAAATTCACTCCGTCTTCGCAAACGTATAGTCTAGAGACCATAGAAGTTAATAATTATATATATGTGCTGCCGAAGCGAGCACAGAAGTTAATAATTATAACTAGAATTGAGCTAAATAGTAATATTAACTCTCTAAACTCTTACACCTGCTCACAATGCAAGCACAAGGCTACGGTGCATCTCTATATCTGTTTTACACACACACAGCATTTTATCTGCAACTATAACACAACTCTCATAGTGACATTTCTCTTCAGTCAGCACAGGCAGTCTCCTGGACATAATCAACGGTTTACCCACAAGTGTCCAGAAGAAATTCTTCTTACCAAAATATACCTACAGATAAAACTTAAAAAAAATAAAAAGATCCATTCTCCTGTACATTATCTGCCTATGTGCTGTGAGAAATCCCTTGACTGACTCTGTATAACATCGGGTCCCATCCCATAAGGCGTGATTAAATCTGTTATGCTGACCTCACCCTCAACCTTACTGCCTGCATATCCACACAGGTGTATCAGCCAGCCTTAGCTTTTTACCTAGATAAGTGACCGATCTTTGTGGGTGGATGCCACCCTGGGTTAAGGTAGCTATTAATAGCCATGGGCTATGGGACAGAGGACACAAAGAGGTAATGTGAGGGGAGGTAAAATATATGGAGATAGCAGCCCCCAGAATGAGAGTCACTCAGTCACTCAGCCTTCATTTTTCCTCCCCTTTTCAACTTTACCCGTAAGCTATCTAGCAAAAGAAATAACAAACAAGCAGAAAATAAATAAATAAATAATAAAAACAAACAAAAACTCTTCTAGAGGGTTCCAGAATTATCTCCAACATTCTGAAGATAAGCTATCCTTCCTTTTTTTCAGATCCAATAAATGTATACTGAACAACTACAATATATATGCCAGGTATTATGTTTCTCTTATTTTGTTTTTTAGATTCTACATGTAAGGAAATCAGCTGGTATTTGTCTTTCTCTGACTCAGAAATAATATATCTTAAATTAGACATTCTCCCTCTGATTATTTTCTATTCATAGGATTACTAATCGTTAGCAATTTTTCCAGCCCAGAATAAGGGATGCCAAGAAGAAGAGAAGTCAAAAAGCTTCTCCACAGCAAAAGAAACCATCCTTAGAACGCAAAGGGAAGCCAGGTGTGGGAAAACGTATTTGTCAATGATACACCTGATAAGGGGTTGATTTCAAATATATATAAAGCACTCATACAACTCAACAAGAAGAAGATA